GAATGACTAAGGCAGTGATGGCGAACCTTTTAGAGACCGAGTGCCCAAACTGCAACCCAAAACCCACTTATGCATTGTCGGGTGCCGGGTGGGTGTGGCCCATTGGGTAGGCGTGGCTGCGATGGTAACTGGGTAGGACTAAAAAGTTCAATCAATCAATTCCAACTTTGCAAGATCTTTTTTTCTCCACGAGAAGTTGAAATTGATTGATTGATTGAACCTTTTTTTTTTGCACATGGCGGTGGAAGCCTAAAGCGAAAAGGTTTTATAAAACCCAGCTGAAGGCCTAGGACTGGGGCGACGGTGCGCATGCCCACAGAGAGGGCTCTGAGTGCCGCCTCTGGCACCCGTGCCATAGGTTCGCCACCACTGGACTAAGGAGAAATTTCCTGACAATGAGAACAATGAAACAGTGGAACAGCTTGCCTTCAAAGTTGTGGGTGCTCTATCACTGGAGGCTTTTAAGAATAGATTGGACAATCATTTGTCTGAAATGGTCTAGGGTCTCCTACTTGATCAGGAGGCTGGACCTAGAAGACCTCTGAGGTCCATTCCAACTCTGTTGTTCAGTTATTCTGAATTACTATCTCAGCAGTTCTAATCCATGTGTGATCTGCCTTACTACAGATTTGCTACTCACTTAACAGAGAATTAAAAGCTTACAACCAAAACAAATGGAGGAAAAGAAAATGGATGGCTATGGTTGCCGGAGAGAGCAAATTCCCAATAACTTTTGCATAGACCGTTATTGACTTAGATTGGCCTTGCCCAACCAAGCACTGCCCAAGACCTAACAGTCTCCGCCCATGCCACTCTCAGCCCAGCTGTGCCAGGTTGGGGAAAATGGACAGATTCCTAGGAAGACACTATTGTTGTTGTTATTGTTGTTTGGGAAATTCTGAGCTTGGCTATTCCAATTTATGTAGCAGCTGGTCACACAAGCAGGTACAATAGGAGAGGGAGAAAGGGCGAAGATTAATTAGGATATGCCCAGGTTTCATATCCACAACCTTAAAACGTCTCTGGGAACATGAAACCATGTGTGCACAAGTTGCGGATGTTTGTGTGCATTGAAGAGAAAGGATGGGCTGGAAGCCCTGGGATGTGTGTAATTTGTAAAGATTCGTGCTGTGAGGTAGGTGTGTGCCTGTATATCTTCTGGAGCTTTCATTCTCACATCCCAATCTCTCTCCCCCTGCTGCTCTGAAATAGCAGCTGGGATAAGGGGTCATGAATATTTCACAAGGATAATTACCTGACCTGGAAAGACTCAGCCTGCTGGAGTCTTGCTGGCAGATTTAATGGCACTTTCCTCCCGATTCACAGCTCAGCATGGCCCTTACTGCAGCCTCGGCCTTAGTGTGCAACCCCCTGCCAATTAACCCTAACTTCAGCTGACCCACTCACTCCCAGCATAACCCCCTCCCCAACATTGTGGAGTAATTCTGTAGATCATCCTGTCTACACCTCCACACACACAACTTCCGTTCTCCTCCCTCTCCCATTTCTAAAATCCTGGTAATAATCTGCTCTCTGCTTAACTCTTGCCCCCAGCATGAAGCCTATATGTAGATATGTCCGTGAGCATGCAAAGAGACACCCCGCACCTGTATGCTCACATTTAACTCTGACTACTAGCAGACAAGGGCTAAAAATAGCTCTCTCTTCCAGCTCTCCTCTCTCTCCCTTATGTGAAGTTAAATTAAGAAAGCCACCCTTAGACTAAGAGGATACATGCTCTTCCTGCCATTTCAGCAACTCTGCCCCTTTTCACATGCTGAAAAAGGCCCTTTCCAGCCCTACCGCTCTGCCACACTTTGCAGTCCCCAGAAGGTGATAAAGCACCAGAAACCCTGGTGCCAGCCATAAAACCAGCAGATCCCTCCAGATCCATAGGTCAGGGCTCTATTTATTTTAGAAAGCACTGGATCTCTTCGCGTTACTGCAAAACACACTAAGCTGCAACATATTTTGGAAACTCAGAACAAATCTCATGGAGCAGATAGGGGTGTTGGATTTAGACTCTCTTCCTGCTGGCAAACACAGGGAAGGAAAGAAGTAGAAAAAATGTTTTTTTTTAATATATTGTGTTGCCAAAAAGTAAAGGTTTTGGCAAATAAACAAAAGAAATCAAGCAAAACAAATTTTAAAACAAAAGAAAAAAACTGTATGAGAAGTGCCAACACAGAACATTTTCAAAGTAACAACTCATTTAAAGGACAATTTCTGTTCCATTTGAATTATTGGTGACAGACTTTCTTCTTTAGAATGAGAACAATATACTTGTATATTTTTTAATGTGTGGGTCCCAGAAAGAATTCTGCATAACCAGAAAACAAGAGATCAGGGGTAAAAAAAAAAACATTACAGTGGTACCTTGGTACTCATTGTTAATTGGTTCTGGGGGGGCACAAGGAGTACCAAAAATGATGAGTACCAAACAATTTTTTTCCCATAAGGAGTAATGTAGTGAGTCAAAAGGCAGCCAACACCGACAGGTTCTAGCTTGTGCGTTGAGTACCAAACAAAAGTTTTGTGTCAAAATGCGTTGAGTACCAAATTCAAAGCAGTTGAGTACAAGGTACCACTGTATTCTGAACATCATTTTATGATCAGTCCTACAATAGACAAGGCTCTGCATTGGTCCTGGAGAATGTTTTCTTCTATGATAGAAAGAATAACTGAATGACCTGAAAAATGAACACTAGCGCCACTTACAACTCTGAATCTTGGCTAACACTCATAGGGATCCTTGCAATGGCTTTCCATCTTATTCAGATGGCATATTTCCACCTGACACCATAACGAGTGGGCTGGTTTTGAAGATGTTATTTTTGAAACTCTGAATGGAGGTCTTCCACGCTGCTTCTACCGACTTAATCTCATACTAGACTCTATCCTTCTTCTTTTCCAACTAGACCTAACATTTTGCAACACACTTCCAGGAGAGTGTTGTTGTTTTTCCCCATGGCTGCTGTGGGCCTGGCCAAGGAATGTCTGTGTTCCCAGCACTTCCAACAACTTCTTCCCCAAAGGGCAGATTAAGGGTGACCAAAGCTTTAAAATTAAGGCATTTTAATTGTTGCGTTCTGTATTATGTAAACCACTGAAATATTTGTGTTCAAAGGGAGCATAATTAGGCTACTCATTTAGTAGTTTGATCTGATAAGAGGGGGGGGGGACAATTTCAATTTAAGTCTGTCACAACAGTTATACTAACCTATTTGCTGACCAATTTCTAGTACACTTGGAAATAGTCTGGTCAGAAATCTCCAGAATCTCTTCAGTTGAAGCTGGCTTCAATGACTACATTATTTTTAGGCATACCATTTCACAAAGTAAACACATAACTGCAGGAACCATTTGCATTATAGAAGTGTACATCAGGGAGTCAGGCTCACGTGGGTTCTTTTTAGAGTGTGTATCCTTTGGCAAAGCTCGGTTACAGTCTTGATCTCAGGAAAAATAGTTGCAATAATGTGTGTTTTGAATAAGTGAAAAGCCCAGGTAACTTCACTGTGGGTTTTTTTCAGCAGACCAAGGCATTGGACTGGATGGGAAGGTATTTCAGCTGATACCAATACAAGAATGGGTAGTGGGGAAAATGTGGATAAGAAAGATGCTTCCCTTTCAAGCTACTTTCTGGGTTATTAACCAGGATGGAATGTTTAAGCAGCTTAGTTCACAAAACAGTGAATTGTTGTGCATTACATTGTTCATTTGTTTGAGTGACTAAGTTGTTCCACCCATATCAAAATAGTTTAATAATTTTCTAACTGACCATTGTGGTAAAAGGGGAGACATGGAGGCACCAGAGGAAAGTCACACCCATCAAAATTAAGACCATTTTTTATGAATAAAGATCAATTCACATGAATTTATCATATGATTGCAACCTTTCTCTAAAGATTTAATTACAGAAGTGAAGGGACTGCAAAAATCATTAAATCCAGCCTTCTCCAGCTTGGTGCCTTCTTATGTTTGCTCATACTTCCTATCAAACCAAGTAGATATAACCAATGATCATGCTGGCTGAAGATGTTGGGAGTTTTATTTCAAGTTGTCTGGATGTCACTGAATTGGGGAAGGCAGGTTTGAACTAACTGCTTGTTAGTGCAGAAAACCCATTGTTAAGGGTATTTGATATGGATTACTGAGAAGCTGAATGGTTCCGGATCTACTCGAGTCATCCAACAATTTCCGATTTCAATAGCCAGTGGAGCAAACTTTCATCATCACACTCCTATCAATTAAGATGATCAACATTACAATTAAGTGTGTGAATTGCTCCCCTGGGGTCCCCTCAAATAATTAAAAAACACACACCAGATAATAAGAAGTCAAGAGTGATCAGAGCCCCAAATTTTGATTATGTTCTTTAGTTCTGGAAGAGGACAAGGTATCCTTTAGTTGAGGGGTCCTATCCTATGAGACAGAGCAGGCACTTATATGCATGAAAGGATATTGTTAAAAGAATTGAGGCTCTGAAAAAAGAGGTCCTCATCCATAGTTACTTCTCATGCACAGAAGAGATCCTTGCCCTGTAGAGGATATGGAGACCACAGAAGACTCCTTCTACACTCAAGAAGCAGTAGGATTTAAGGAACGTCTCTATTAGGAGAGTTTTGCAACACTCTAAAAATAAAAAAATGGATTGCCCTTGCCATATGTTCATAAAATATAACCGGTGCCACATAGAAAGTGGCTTCAAGTCTCACAATTGGCCAGAAAGCAGCAGCAGTAACAGACCTAGTCAGTCTTCCTTTACCCCTGGGTTAGGGTGAAGGTGAATCACTTTGGCCTCAGCTAAGTGCTGGGTAGGGATCCAGCCTCCCGCAGTCTCAAAAGTTCCCAGACTCTACTAGCAATCAGTAGAATAACCACCCTCCATTGTCAAAACTATGAAAGTTCCAACAGAATGAATAGACAGGCAAGGAGAAATGACCGGAAGCCAATCCTAATTGCTCCAGAGTCCAGAGAAGAACAAGAAGTTCCTAGGCATCCATTTTTCAGTTGGCTTCCTTCTCCATTACCATAAGTCCCCCAATGGTCATCTTCTGTAGGTGGATCATACTTGGAGCTCTGGATGTCATTGGCTGGAACATCCCTATAGAAAGAGGAAGGATCGGCAGGAGGGGATCCTCCAAGGCCATAGAGATGATTAGATGAGCCATTGGGGTGAGGGTGAGGGTGAGGGTGTGGATGGGGGTGAGGGCGGGGGTGAGGATGGGGGTGAGCTGGTCCACTCTCCCATTCAGGCATACAGCTCCAGTCAAACTCAATAGGATGATGGTTGGTTGGAGGGCAGCCTTGAAATACTGCTTCGTTCAGATAGCGCATGTCATGTCCTTTGCGTTCTGCAGGAGAGGCGCATATGACGTCTGAGATGGAGACCTGTGTGCGCTGGAACCAGGACCAGAGGGAGTAGGCACGGCAGTCACAGGCCCAGGGATTGTTGTTGAGGCGCAGAAACTCCAGGGAGGGCAAATCTGAGAGTGTTTCTCCAGACACAGTTGTCAGGCTATTGTTGAACAAATATAGAATGGTAAGCTTGCCCAAATCACGAAAAGCCCACGTAGGGATTGTGTGCAGGTGATTCCGGTGCAGCAACAGGCGGTCTAATCCAGACAGGCCACGGAAGACGTTCTCTGAGAGCTTCCAAATTTTGTTCCCATGCAGAAAAAGGTGGCTCAGATTAGCTAAATCCACAAAAAGGTCGTCCTGGGAAATAAAGAACGAATGCTGTGAAATTCGGCTTTCGTGAAATGGCTCACCTGAGTGGCCTCTCCTATCCCCGAAACACTGCAAACTCAAATGTATGGCCCCACATCCCAGACTTTTCAGCCAACCTTCCCCAGCTTCCCCCCTGCTTCAGTCTCCTGTCATATGGGAGCTTGACATGTTTTTATTACACTGATCCTCGTTCTCTAATGTCCCCTAGCACAAGAGAGAAACATTCTCCCTCCACATACAACCAACACTGTCTCCTCCAACTGAGCATGTGGCGGGAGGCAGTGAGGCATAATCCGTAAATGCATTTTTACTGCTGCAGGGCCAGACTGCAGTTTCTCCACTCTGAAGCCACAGCGCCTGCAGCCGGATAGGTGTGTGGTTTTAGAGTGAGCTGCTGGCAGGGCCTGGGCCTTTCGGGATGATCCGGCAAGAAGATGAAGCTTGAGACCCACACCAGTTCTTTGCCAGTTTTCAGAAAAAAATTGGGAGGGGGTATTAGACTCTTGGGAGATATTTCAAACATTAAACAATTTTCATATTATTCTTAAGAAATAAATCCCTCGTGTCATTTCCCCCCCGCTCTGCCAAATTAGCTCTCTTCCCACCTATTTTACTCAACACCCAGAAGCCACATTTTCTTCAGATTCCAGCTACTTCCCAGCTACATAGTTTCAGAAACTTTTGGGGCAAAAGCCAAGCTCACTTTTTGCAAGAGCCCAACATCTTGCAGGTGGGGAAGGATAACCATAAGGGAAGGAGGATCACCGCTCTCTGCCCCACCGCCTTCTAGAGTGGAGCGGGATAATTTATGGCTCACGGGCTGCATATAGTTCCTTTCACTGCGTTCCCTTCATGACTTTCTGCCTTGATCCTGCCCCTGTCTTTTAATCAGTCATGCAGTCAGTGCATCAGTCATCAGTCATGCATCAGTCATATACTGTATTTTGGAGTTTGGCCTTCTGCCTGAGGAAAGATTTCCCAACCCTGCCCATGCTAGGCCAGATTCAGCAGATTGCTCACCTGTAGGCAAAGCAGGTTGTTTTCCTGAAGATAGAGGTATTGGAGGCTGTAAAGATTGCGGAAGATATTGTTTGGGAGGCTGCTCAGCTGACAGCGGTAAAGGTGCAAAGACTGCAGCCGCTCAAGTCCACGGAAAGTATCGGGTTCAAGGGTGCGCAAATGGCGGTTGTCCCCCAGATCCAGCTCCTCCAGAACCTGGAGATGTCGAAAAGTGCCAGGCTGGATGGAGGAGATATTGTTGGAGTAGAGCCACAGGGTGATGAGGCTGGGCCCAAACATTCCAGGTCTCAGGGTCCCAATCAGGTTGTTTTGTAGAAAGAGGCGCTGGGCATTCGGGGGCAGTATCCGTGGCACAGAGGAGAAGTTATTAGCCTGGCAGCTCACTGTGGGTGGGGAAAAGTAGCAGGTGCAAAGCATAGGACACATGGAAGAGCCAAAGGGCAAGGTCAACAGCAGGAGGAAGGTAGGAGCCAAGCCTGCAAGAGAAGAACACGGATTAAGGCTCTTTGCTTCCCCAGGAATCTGTGAAGGTGGAATAGCATGATAGCGCTCACTCCCCTTCATTCATTGATCATATGAGAAAGCTATCTAAATGGTACATGGTACTATCTCATTATAGTAGCTCCATTAAATACACTCCAGTGGGCTCAATTATTAAGTTTTCAATGAAATTTTAAGCGATCAGAATAGATTGGCAACATTGTACTCTAGACAACTTCCTTTTTGTAGATATTTTTAAAAAATCTGTTGCCAATTACATATTCCAACTCTTACCTTTGGCCTCTGAGTACTGACTACTGTTTTAATTGAATTTCAAGGGAGCCAAAGCCGCCGCCCCTCCCCTCCAGCCCCATTTTCTAAGAGCTTGGCTGTAGAGAGAAACATACTCAACCGTGAGATTTATAAAGCTGGCAAACATGCAAGGCATAATCCCACGTGAGAAAGCACGCCTGCGTATGCACTTCGCCAGGCAAGCCAAGCAAAGGTTTGGCCATGCATGTCTATTCACAGATGGTCTCACATGAGCACTCCCCGTGCACGTGTGCATGGTTCCCTACCTCTGTATGCATGTGTGTGGGTGGTGTGACGTGATGAACGAGTAACACAAGCTGCCAATGCTGTTTCGGTAGTTCACACCACCTCCACGCAAGTCCTCTTCTCTTCCCACTTCCTTCCAGCCTCCCATCCCTTTCTGACAAGCACCACACAAAAGCAGGAGCTTTGCAAACCAGAACTGGAGATCTGAACTCAGCCCTGTTCTGAGTTCAGCGCCCTCAGCTTCAAACTGGGAGAAAGTTCCCTCAGCAAGACACACGTATTCCATGCCCTTTTCTTTTTAATCCTTCTACTCCGCGGAAAAAGCTCCCACTGATGGAGTGTGATGGCTCGCAGCTACTCCAGGAGTAGGGATTCCATTGGGAGGGTGGGGAAGGGAGGGTGGGAGGGAGGGCTAAAGCATTGTCTCTACTTCATTTTAGGCTATTTCCCTTGAAATGGATATGGCGACTCTCCTCTTTCTGCTGGCAGAAGTCAACTGAAATGGGAGGCCTGAAAAAGGGAATTCTTACCTGGCAAGGCATAAGCTGGCAGGCCCCTCAGCCTGACCCTCAAAAGGGCTCCATCTATTCTGTACCTATCCTTCTTTCCCCCTTATTGTGCGGCAAAACTGTAAGCTCAGGTTTTACAATGACCCAGTTACAGTAGAAGCAACATGCCAGAGGAGCCAGGCGGTATGAACACTAGGCCAAAGGGAGCTCTCCTGCCAGCTGCTGACTGCCACCAAGGTAAGACGCCCCTGCCCCCCCCCCCGGCACTGTGATAAGGAGAGAGAATCTGCTTCTCCGTTTCTCACCCCCCCACCCACACACACTCCTTGTGAAACCACCTCCCTTCTCATATGTTAACCGAGTGGAAAGAAACCTTCGCAGACACCCGTGTGGATGATAGCCGTTTCCTCTAATAACGGCAGGCCGGTTTTCCCTCCAGGGAAAAGAGAGCCTGGGGGAGAGAAATAAAGCCTTTCTCTTGAGCCTGGGGAAGGGAGCTGCACGGTTAATGTTGACTATCTCTGGACTCTTCTCTCTGGTGCGATGCAAGCAACGGCTGTAACCCAAGGAGTCTCATCCATAATTCAGGCCTGTGGCTTTCGCTGGAGCTTGGGCAGAAAAAAAAGAGGAGGGGAAGAAATTGGAAGCGTCTCCTTTCTCCCCATAAAAGCTCTCTGGCCATCATCTGGGTGAAAAGCATCTATAGATCTATTGGAGCAGATGCTGATGACCCCTCCTGCTTCCTTGTGACCCAAATAGACCCACATTACTTTATTTCCTATAATATTGTGTAGGCATTTGAGACGGCCCATTCACATTCATTTTTAAGCCTCCATCCCATTGCTGTTTTAATGGTCACTCAAAAACGTCTTCCTGGAGTTCCTCAACATGAAACAAAAATTAAGATAATCAGATCGGTTCAAGCAGAGTGCAAGTTGGATTGAAAAGTGATGCTACTGATCTGTTCCTAACCCACCATATAAGGGATGGTCCTGCTCTCAACTCTAATTCTGATCATGGATGTCCTGTAATCCTTATACAAGCCAAGGTAGGCCTTAATGTGTGCATTATGCATTTGCCCAGAAACTGCTTTTGTAGAGATAAAAATCCTTGATCCTCAGAAGAAAAACTTCACTCATTAACCTTGTAAGATGATTAGAGTTTGCAAGTCATGTTAAAACATGCCCTTCAGCATCTTCCAGCTTTTAGCCACATTGCTATGATGAATTACAACTCCATGCAAAAGGCAGCAGGAACAAACTCACTCTGTCATGGAGAGGAAGCAGTAGCTTCTGACAGAGGAATCCTCCCCTCCCCCAACTCCAGGTGTCCCAAATGCAGGGACTCCACACACAATTGTTCATCCTTCAGGAAGCCTAGCGATGGCACATCCTGGCAAACAAACCAGGTCTTCAGGGCAATTGAATGGAAGTGAGAAGACTCTGGAGCAAAACTGCTTGAGTTGCTAACTGGAGCCAGGTGTGTAGTTCTGTATCTCAATTAGACACCTTAGGAACAATGCAACACTCCAATGGGGGAGGGGAATTGGGGCTACGTGCTTGACAAACTAGAAAGAGTTACAAAATTAGTACCACAGAGGTCCAGCGACATGAGTAGGTGATAACTGTACACACTTCCATTGGCTCCATTTATATCCCGAGATGTAGGAGTAAAATAAACTCTAGCAGATGCGTTTGCTAACCCAAGGAGGAAGGAGAGGATTGGCAAATGTTCAAATTCTACAAAAGGACTTCCCAACTACTTAAAAGTAACCATCATCTGGCCGGGCATACTTATTGTAGAAAATAGCACTGCTAAATGGAGAGGAAAGGAAAGGAATCAGCCTGTCCATGTTGTCCTGCATTCTAACAGTGTTTCCCCAAAGATCAGGTTAATATATAGAATAGGAGAAAGAGGTTACTCACATCCCCCCCTCTCCTTTCGCTCTCCCCTATTTAATAATCAGTGATGAAATGAGACTGGTTCTTTACCTGCCACGCTTGGTTTTGTCTTCATCTTCCTGAAGGAATTCCTTCTGGTATCTGCAGATTTCATTCTGAAAATCCTGACTCTACTTAAAGGGTCTTTAAATATTTTTATTGCTTTCCTTGCATTCCTAAATCCTGGCTTTGAACTCATCCTGGAGGTTTTTGGGGATTTTTTTTAGTTGATGCCAGATCAGAATTCAATATGTGCCAGTGGCTGTATGTGATAATGAGCCAGAGATGAGGCGTTCTTCCATCTTAACACTAGAACCTTCTTTAACAATGAAGAATTTTCATTCACACCACTGCACTTCTATTCTTTGCCACCATTCATTGCCTACAACCTTTTTACAGTGACAACATCAGCAGCTGGAGGCTGATGGGCCAGATCAGGTCTCTCTCTATAGAAAAGAGTGATGCACCAAGGTGAGCAATGGGTCACTTGAAAAAAAAATGCAAAGAAAGATTTTGGCTATCTCTTATTATTCCATTTTCAAGGGAACCCTTATGTCCCTCAGGTCTCTGAAGAAAACTTAACAGTTGTCAGGACTTTAAAATCCATTTTCTGGAGTGTTGCTTTTAATGTCTCCTGAAGTTGTGAAAGATTTCTCAATATCCAAATGGATCCTTCAATGGACAACCCAAACAGTTATGCTCAACTTTAGCCAAATCCCTTTAGAAATCACACTAGGCCCAGTGAACCAACAAAGTCCATCCTGAAAAGATCAACGTAAGTAGCTGAGGCATCTACTGGTTTCAGTACAGCCTGCGGCAGAGGACTCTGGCACCAAGCGGGTCAGAGCTGAACCTCTGTTCTTCATCTGACCGGTGTGGAAGCAAAAAATGATAACTCAGGCATGAGAATAAAGGTGTTGCTTTTGAGAGAGAGGCTGGCAGAAGCAGGAGTGACGAGTCTGACATGGCTGGTGACGTGAATGAAGCCAAACTCTTTTTTTGCGTCCATAATTTGTCACCCCTCAAATAAGCAGCTGCCTGTTGTTGTGTAACCCATTGAAGACCAGGCTATAAAAGGCAAGGAACGGAGCTGAGCGCAAAACTGAATCCTTCCTCCAGGAGGGCGCCTGTATTGTATCTTTAAACTCTGGTCCTCCCTATGGCAGCTAATGGGGCTTACATACGGTCCAGGCAATGGCTGTCAATGCATTTGTAGCACTTTCCTTTCCTTGGCTTCTGCCTTACTCTGTACTCTTCGGCCTTTTTTTTATGAATTAAGTGATGCGGAGCATCTTTCTGAACTAGGAAACCCACCACAGGGAAGATTTCCTACATAAACACACCCTGCGATCCCCACCGGATCTCTCTCAGTGCTGCTAAGAAGTGCTTCCCCCCCCCCCACACCCCATCCTCCAATATTACTTTTTTAAGAACGCATACTTCACTTTCTCGGCGCGACCCCCCCCCTGCACCCTCGTTCTCTCTCGAAGGCTCGGCGTGGGTTTTAGACGCGATCCACGGCGGCGGGCGAGTTCCTCCCTCCGCCTCTGGATCTACGCAGCTGAGGCGGAGACAGGAGAACCCGAGGCCCGGCCCTGCCCCCCCCCCCACTCCCCGCGCTTTGCTCCCGCTGCGGTGTGGCGGCAGAGACCGGATCCGGGCTCCGCCGTGCTTTCAGAAACGGCCCTTCCGCCCGAGGCCCGCAGCTCTCGTCTGAAAACGGCGCCCGGAGGTTTCCCGCTGAGCGCAACGGGGCAGGAGGCTGGGCAGGCTCCGGTGGGGCAGGGAGGCATCTTTCCTCGTCGAGAGGCACCCGCCTCCTCCCAAGGCTAGAAGGGCTCCCCCCGTTCCTGCCCCAAGTCGATCCATTCCCCAGGCTCTCCCCGCCAGCTCTTTCGCGGCGCTAAACAGCCCCCCCCTTTCCCCCCCTCCCACGCGAGGTCCCGCCGCTTTCCCGCTCCACGCTGCCCCTCCCTCTCCAGCAAACCGAACCGATCCCACTCCTCGCCCCGAAACAGCCACCTGCCCCGGACGCGGTAGCCGGAGCGGACCCGGCTCTCCCTTACCGTACAGAGTGGATCCTAGACGGAGCAGCATGGTGCCAGGCAGATCTAGCGGACGGAGTGGCGGCAGAAGAGTCCCCAAAAAAAAGAAAAAAAAGAGGGGCAGCAGAAGCTCCGGAGAAGAATGAAGAGACCGAGAGAGCAGGAGGAGGAGAGGAGGAGGAGGAGGGAGGAGGAGGCGGGGACAGGGAGGGGCGCGGCGGGGGAGCTCGCGGTCGGTCGAATTCCTGGCGGAATCGTTCCGAAGTCTCCCCAGCGAGGCTCCTGCCGGACGAAGCGCAGACCAACCGCTCGTCGTCGGATCGGTTCCTTCACAATCTCAGCGCCGCCCCGCGGGAACTCATGGCCGGCCGGGACCGACCATGAGTTCCTTTACCCTCCGTTTCTCCGGCGGGAACGGCCGGACGGAGGCTCCATCTCGGGGGAGCCGACCGGGAGGGAACATTGGCTCGAGCTGGCCAGGCGCACCTCCGCGGCTCAGCCGACACACCGCGAAAGGGAGGGGAGGGAGGCAGGCGGCGGCGCCTTATTCTCGGGGCCGGCCCGGGCTCCGCCCTCTCCGCTTGCTGCCTTAACCCTTTGCAGAACGGGAGGGCCCTCCTCGCCCACTCCCGAATAGGCCGCCGGCGCGTCCGCCCGCCGCCCGCCCTGCAGTGAGCCCTCCTCCAGCCCTCCTCCAGCCCCTCCTTTCAGGCGTCATCGCGTCTGCTCCCCGGGCGGGTTGAATCCCGTGCCCTTTGGCCGAAAGCAGAAAGGAACGGCGCCGCGTATACACACAACCTTTTGGCGTTCGGCATTATATTAATCCGGATTAATTCAGCCAGGCATTGGCATTCTCAGCCTGTCGTTTCAGCACTGGGCTAGAAATAAGCCCGATCGATTTCGGACATTGCAACCCTGCTAGCCGGAGTCATTTGCCTCGCGCCTCGGTGGGACTTAATGTCGTTGCCGAATGGGCTGATTAACTAAAAGTTACTGTTAAGGGATCCTTGAGATGCGGTCGGAAAATCTGAGCATGCGCCTCAAGCACACCTGTTCCACTGCTCCCAAAAGCGGGGCTCCGTCGATCGGGAGAAGCGAAGGCTTAGAAGTGGGTGTGCTCTGAATTCAAGTTCCAGCCAGGCTCTTAGGAAAGGGGGACGGCCCGGAAACTTTTCCTGGCAAAGGCCAAGTGAAAATGAGGAGGAGGAGGGGCGTTCAATGTGGGGAGAAATCTCAGCTGGGAAAACCAGGCAAGTGCGTGAATTACCCCCCCCTCCCCACTACATCGCACAGACTCCCGCTTGTCCCACCGAAATGAAAGATTAGATCTTTGGGAACGCTGGCATCGGATCGGAGTTGGAGCTGGAGCAACCGGAGCTAGCGAATGTGCTGCAATTAGATAAATGGGAAGAAATGAAACGGTCCGCTTTTTCCCGAGGAGGGCTATTTGCAGAACGCCTCCTCCTAGACCAGTGATGGCGAACCTTTTTAGAGACCGAGTGCCCAAACTGCAACCCAAAACCAACTTATGCATCGTCAGGTGCCGGGTGGGTGTGGCCCATTGGGTGGGCGTGGCTGTGGTGGTAACGCCAGACTGGGTGGGACTAAAAAGTTCAATCAATCAATTCCAACCTTGCAAGATCTTTTTTTTCCCGTGAGAAGTTGAAATTGACTGATTGAACCTTTTTTTTTTTTTTGGGCACATAGCGGCAGAGGCCTAAAGCGAAAAGGTTTTATAAAACCCAGCTGAAGGCCTAGGACTGGGGCAACGGCGTGCGTGCCCATAGAGAGGGCTCTGAGTGCCGCCTCTGGCACCCGTGCCATAGGTTCGCCACCACTGTCCTAGACCTAGCCCTTCCCACTTCGTTGCCAGAAGACCGAAGCGATGAAGGGTTGTAGCTAAAATTCTAGAGTTACTAGAGCAGAAAATGCGTGGTCGTTTTGCAGCGAGGAGCAGAGCAGTTCCACGCGGTAGACGGGCCCTCCTGGGCCCTCCGGATGGTGCTGAAGGACAGCTCCCGAGGAAGGCCGCCTTCCCACTGGCCACTTTGATGGAGACTGTTGGGAGTTGTCGACCTACTGTATACAGCAGGGGTAGTCAACCTTGGCTCTTTTATGACTCGTGGACTTCAACTCCCAGAATTCCTGAGCCAGCTGTGCTGGCTCAGGAATTCTGGGAGTTGAAGTCCACGAGTCATAAAAGAGCCAAGGTTGACTACCCCTGGTATACAGCTTCGGGAGAGCTGCGTGTTCCCCTCTAATGTGAAACCCGGGGGGCCTCCTGAAAATGCGAGGAAACGCTCTGTTTCCATTCGCTTGCGGTGGGCAGCTGGTTGCTCGCAACTTTTCGCATTGAAGTTCCCCATCCGATACTATTCCTTTGCAGCGCGCGATCCTCGCTTTTCTTATCGGAAGAAAACCCAGTGGGATTCCTGCCCAGAATAGGTGTGTTTCTCTTCAGGACGCGCTTCTCTACTTCTCTGTTAGAAATTCCTATAGCGGTTGGTTTATGAAGGAAGAAGGAGCGAGGGAGGGAGGGGCTTCTCCTGGCATCAGCTGCCAAAGACCTGCCTATCCAGAAAGCAAAAGGCTCGCCCTGCCGATGGACAACCCCGATGCTCAGGCA